AGTAACCATGTAACCTCAAGTTTCCAAAATATTCTATAGAACTGTCAAATTCAAGGGAAATTTTTTTCGACCTATTTTCGTATGCAACCGGATATGACGTACTATGATTTGGTGGTATTACACCTTTATGTGGTGTTCATAGCAAATCTTGATCTTTGCCGTTGCTTTATCTTGGGGTATCCAAAACTCCCTCTAAAACCTTTACTATATTGAATTGAAACTTACACAACATCTACATCATAAAATGCCTTTGTGCACCTTCTATTTTATATTTTAATCAGAATTGCTTTTAGCATTTCCCTTAGCACATTATTGACTTTGCAAGGCGGTTTTTTGTTATTGTGCTCGCAGTAATACTAGCTTTCAAATTGATTTATTTAATCCTTATATCAAAATGGAAAAAAGTTAAGCGAAGAAAAAATCACCGAAGCGAACTTTCCAGAATAAATTTGACAAAATTTATTGGTATAAAAGATATTTTGATTGCATAGATTAACACGGTATACAACCGCGGTACAATTGATTCCGGACGTTGATTCGTCGATGAAGGTCAACATGCTTTACGTCAAAGAAAAACTACATTAAAAAAGTATGTAATGCTGATAAAAACAAAACGTGACCATTTACATGGGCATTAACAGCGAATTCGAAAAAAAATATATGATTTTTCCCCAACACATTTATTAAAGCGGAATGAAAAAATAATGTTTCGCTATTAACAGTCAGTTTGGTTCGATTTCGTCAATACAAGCTAAAGAAAACATCACTGGTGTATTATTGACTTGTAAATCAATAATTCAACTCATGTGAATCCGTATTCATGTAACCTTTTATTTAACCTTTAGTGGAAACGGGTTGCGCGTGAATTCTGCAGCTGGTTCATTCATTAAAAAGGAAAGATTGCCAACATTGAAAAGAGAAAAAAAGTGAGATACTTCGGATCTACGAAAACCATTCTTTTACAGGTAAAACGATGATTTACACATACTTTAAATCTATAACATGAAATCAAACAGACCTAGAAAAATCCGATTGCATGTGGTCGCTATCTATTTCAATTTCTATTTATGATTATATCGGGAAATATAACGTCGGCAATCCTCGGGGGTCATCTCGATGGATAATAAGATGGCGTCCGGTCTCGAATACACAAGAAATACTTATAAATTATAGCGAGCCCATGCTTTGTTTTAACGTTTCTTTTGGACTTTGTAATTTGGATATACTTTAGTATGTTATAAATGAAATACCAAAATTTGAGGCACACCGGTGAACATGAATTTGGCAGCTAATACCCATTTAAAAATTGTGAATATTTTATATATTACACGAAAACTAATTATTCATTTTAAGCAAACAATAAATCACATGACACACGGTTATAACTAGCTTTCGAACACACCTGCAAAAGTAAATTAAAAGTTTAATAGTTTGTTAACACAGTTTGTTTTACACATATTTTGTTTTGTTGTTGTCAAGGAATTCATTAAAAAGTTACAACATACTACAACAAACTACGTATTCATTATAATATTTTATTATTATTTGATGATGATGATGATGATGATGATGATGATGATGATGATGATGATGATGATGATGATGATGATGATGATGATGATGATGATGATGATGATGATGATGATGATGATGATGATGATGATGATGATGATGATGATGATGATGATGATGATGATGATGAGGAGGAGGAGGAGGAGGAGGAGGAGGAGGAGGAGGAGGAGTAAGATTAGAAGGAGGATGAGGATGATGAAAAGGGAACGTGTAATGCAATACATAATGTAGGTAGAGTGCCAGGTTTTGTGCACGTTAAAGAAATCTTAAGATAACTCTTGAATTGGTCGATAAGTGGTGATTGCAAGCCAAAATAATTTTCAAAATGAAATGTAACTTCCCGCCATTTATCCGGTCGACGAACTTTGTAGAATTTTCATATTCAAATTAAAGGTTAATTGTTTTCTTGTCCTAAAATGTTCATAACTATTGCATAACTATAATTGTTAATCGAAAATTGATCTCATGAGATTTATAAAACTACCAAATATACAGACATTATTTTTTTAAACTAGGCAGTGTGTAGCCTCATACATTAAATGATTAACTTTGTTTCAGCTTGCTTTTGGTATGTCAAATATCTTTGAGTTTCCTTTAAGCTCAGTTTTTATGTTGTTTTGAGCATACTTTTATTTAGTATTATTTAGTATTGATTAACATGCACGTGTGTACTTGTATTCCGGTATTGAAAATCTATATATTTTCCCGAAAACATTTTTACCATGTGTTGTAAAATTTGTTATACAGCTGATAGAGATAAAATTATTAAGCTTAAAATCTAACGTGACCAGGTTTCATTTCTGTCTGAAATTAGCAACAGTAGTGTTTTGTTCTTTAAAGATTTTGGTGTACATGGCGAATTTTTGATAGTCCTGCCCTGTCCTTGTAGTCTATATTGTGACATCTTTATGTCATTTCTCGTTTATTGAAAGTTGTCTCATTGACGTATATCTCACATTTTTGTGAAAGAAGCTGATGATGAAGAATAGAATGAAATATTCATAAATCCTGCCAATGTTGTGTTAAACCTGATTGCTGTTTCTGTAAAATATTCCGCTTAAAATTGTTGTAATTTTCTCGTTTTTGACTTCGATCTATATATTTTAATTGGTCCTTTGGGTTCTTTCTTATCCAATCTGATGGATGATATACTTTATACATGTAGAGGCTTTTTTCATAGCGAAATATCGGCATTGTGCAAATACAACTTTCATGCTTAGATTATAGACAATATGATATAATATTGAACGAAACACCGATAGATAATGGGAAAGTTTATAATCATTGGTCTGTTCTGGGGCCTTCTGTCAGTAGCTCACGCAATGCTACTGATCTTCTTATTTTTTTATTTCTAGTTGTTTACAATATCCCCTGATGAGGCCTTTACTATGTTGGGTTTATTGTTTGCTTTTACAAGGCAAGGTCATGTACTGCCTTTCCAAAGCCATAACTCGACTATTTATTCAATCATCAGTAGCTTGCTATTTAAAGGGAATTTTTTGACTTTAAGAATTAAGATCTCTATAAAATGTTAACGCTCGTCGTTGAAAACCACTCGATGATTCTTTTACTGCATAATTTGAATTAAGTAATAAGAGTAGGATGTTAAAAAAATTGCCTCCGTCAATTGGGAAATTGACGATCACAAATGCATTGTTACTGCCGACACAGAGCGGAGTTTATATATTTGCTACCGTTACATCCAAAATTCACGGTGGCAACTCTTCAGAAGTAGTGTACCTATTTTATATACTAGTTCTATATTTCTCAATTTAAACAAACATAATCTCAGAGACATTGACTGCGATTGCGCAGCGTTGTTGGAAATGACTCTGACGGTCAACCATGGAATAACTGCAGACGTCATTCAATCAAAAGTGGTGTAGCATATTGTATAGCATTAGTTTATTTTCATGTGTTCATCTAACTATAGTTTCACTCTCTGTCAAAGAAGATATCCTACCTTATCTTTTTTAAAAGATTTATGCTTTTTGGCGAAGCAGATGTTAAATTCTCGGTATTTCTTGTGTTAATAAGATTCTGGATGCTATAACGCTACGTCGAAAGCTATCGAAAACTGATGTATGTAGCATTTATACCTCCAGAGATAAAATCAATCAAATACTTGTGAAATAGATCTCCAAATTTATAGAATACATAACACCACCATCAATTAAACTATTAGTAAACCAACAATCGCGATTTTCTTAGACTTTTGTGTAGTAATGAGTGATTTGAAAGTTTCAATTATGTATGAAAAAAAATGACAAACTAAGATTTAGCAGTAGACGCCATTATACCATAACGCTTACGTTGTCATGTTTTTTTTAAACAGTTGTTGCAGTAATAACCTTGACAAAGTAGGGCGTTTGCTTGGGATTGTGTGCTGTATACATTTGCAGTCACGTCCGGTTGAAATGGGAGCTTTAGACCCGATGTCTCGTGTAAGAAGAGTTCCTTGATCTCTGCACGTATAAGAGCCATTGCATCAACTATATGTGGAGTCAGTAAGTGGACTGTTGTAAGGCAAATTTCCTGCCAATATATATGCATAACATTACCTTTTTTTATATTGGCAATATAACGGACAAGGTATAATAAGGCCATTTTTTGGTCTTTTGAATTCGAAAGTAAACAAGAATTATTGATTTACTAAATATTAACCTCCAAATAACCTTCATAAGACTTTAGTCTATCAGACTTCAGTATCAGACTTTAGAATATATCTTATGAATTGTGTCTTGTATATTTGCATAAGGGTTTCAAAATTCTTAAATGTAGTGCAACACTGCATTTACTGCCAAAATAGCTTCATTTTGTGATCTTGTCATTAATATTTAGATATGAACAACATGTACAGCGGTATCCAAAAGATATATTTTACACAGATGTGTATGTGTGTAATAACATTAACAGTACAAGCTGAAATGTTGTTTTTAGGGTTTGGCTGTTGCTCATAATGATTTTGTCAAAAAACTATTTATTAAAAGGTAATTTTAGCTTAAATATGCCAAATACAACATGCTTGTGACATCACAAGTGACCTTTCATCAGTTAGGTGTTCAAATTATATTAACCGGTTCGTTTATCAGTAAGATTAACTTAATTTTGAAAGGCTTAAGTAATTTTACTATTTTTGTAATTTTAGGGGTCAAATAATAGCTCTTATCATACCTCCTCCTTCCCTGTCCTTTTACCTGTTGTATCTCCTTGAGGAAGCTACCTATTATATCAAGTGTTAAATTGTTCTCGTCATGAATATGACCGGACACTTAGCAATGAATAATCGATCAATCGTCAGTATTTATTAAGTGGATATTTCCTTGAAGACATCTGGTAAAACAATTCAATTCAACCAACCTCGTTAACAGAACTGTATATGTAGTATAAAGGGTAAACAATGAATAAATGAGATGAATAACGTGGAATAATGTTTGCGTTTTTATTATGAGTATTTCTGAATTTATATTTTTCTGATCATCATAACTGGTTTCGAAACATAATTATTCCAGTATGGTTTGTGCTCAGTACGACTAAGATCACAATTGGAACAACCTTTTTTATACCACCATGATCCTGTTTGGCTGACTGCACAACTGCCGCCATAAATGTTGTTGTCCTGGTCTATGGTGGAAAATTTCACCCCATTGTGAAGTTTAAATTTATCAACTTAAACGAAAATTGAAATATTAGCGATACAATTGGAATAACTACCGGCAGACATTAATTTCTTTAACCCTAATTATTAGCCATATGTTAGAAGATGACAAAATGCTCTATTTCAAATTTAAACTCGCACTTAAACTCATGATCACATTTTTTTCCCTCACCGCCGCATTCTGTATGTGGCTATTCCATGTCAAGAGCCCGTAGTTCAGTGGTTGTTATTGGTATCTATCATATTTTTTATTGTTTATTGTTTTATCAGAAATCAGAATGATGAAATTCTTATTTGAAATATTTTAAGTTACGTTATTTCCGGGCCTTTTAAAGCTTATTATTCGGTATGGGTTTTGCTCATTGTAAAAGGCCGTACGTTGACCTACAGTTGTTTTTTTTATCTATTTCATTTGAACATTAAGAAAGTTTCAATATTTACTCTTTATAGAAATCAATCGTGTTTTCCCCCAAACTACAATCAGGTTTTCATTGCGCTTAAGCTTATCAAAAATCAAAATGTGAAAGCAATAGTGGCAATAAGATCCATATTTGGCCCAAAATCTAGTACAAATCTTGTGGAAACCGTGAACTCATTGTTTTCTCTTACATGACAGAGGTATAAGGTTTTCAGATAATAAAACATTTGATTTTGCCATTTGACTAGGGACTATTCGTTTTGAATTTTCCTCGGAGTTTTGACAAGTTACAATGGCAACAACAAGCAATGAAGAAATTTGTTAATTTTATAAAACTTGTTGCTAGTTTCTTGTTTTGTTCTTATTAAGAGTTTGTTTTACATTGGGAAAGTATTTACACGACAGAGAAGCAACTTCCTATTTGATGGTATTATGTATAGATCAATAAGAAAGCCTTCTGAAATCATAAATTGTTTCTTAGCTGTTTACTACTTCTGGATAGAAATGCATACAAAACTACATAACACTCATCAAAGATGAAGTTGTACCAGCCTTATGACCTAGTACGCAAATTGCGCGTTTTGTTTACATAAGACCCATCAGTGGCACACGAGTCAAAACTGTTTGAAATTCAAATCTAATACGAGGTTAAAGAACATAGAAACACTCAATTCGTCAGTTTTCTCCATTCTTTTGTAATATGCGCATATCATGACATACTTATGACGTAAAAACAGATAAAATTCTTGTCTTTTAATGCTTTTCCCTTTTTGCTATTCGCGAATTTTAACATGTTTAAGTAGTTCTAAAAACTTTAGCATGTTGAATAAAAAAAAGAATAAAACATGTAAAACAAGTTTTATTACAAAATTCCTAACGTTATTTAAAACTATTGTTTTAATTAAATGAGACGCAGTAATGTGACCTGGAAAATATATATATTAAAATGTTTTAGAAAAAGTGCTATGGCAACTTAAGTTTTAAGACCGTTTATGTGACAACAATAATTGTGTTTGTATGTCTATTACAGACATCTCAGAACAGAAGCTAAGTTGGCACTAACACTGTTGAACATACGAAAGGTTTATTGTTACCGGCATGAATATGCTATCATCTAGACTAAATAGCCAGGCCATCGTTAACTATATCAAGCGAGTTTATTAATGAAAAAATTAAAAACAAAACCTTATCGTAATTACATTTACGCGTGGTTGTGCTTTTCGAATCAAAGTATAAATATAAAACATATAGTTCAAAGAGTTGTCATACTATCATGGTCGCTTTATCATTATGATAAAAATGTTATGCTAAACATAACACTCAAAGAAAAAATAGTCCTTCAAATTTATATTATGACACTGAGACGTAAAATTACACCCTATAGAGTGAATACTGACGTCAGGACATCGGGGAAGGGAAGGATTTAGTCCATTTTTTACGTGGCAAGTCATCTATTTTACCAGAAATATAAAAATAAAGTCAGCAGTGCACAATGGATGGTAAACTTGACCTCCCCATTATTAGTTGTAGTAATTTTCAACAAGTTTTAACTTGACTGGCAGCTTTATAATTAACGAATATTTATATCTAGGAAAATAATACGTTTCTATGTGTATAATTAGTTTATAAACTATTTTAACTTATTTCGGCAACCACTCATTAGATTAAGCTACATATCCACTGTGCCATGATAAACCCTCTTTAAATAAAGGTCACCATTTCCAGATAATTCTTAATTTTTCATATTTGATATATACGGGGGATTTCTAATGAATCTTTTTGTTTAAAATTGATGTCTTCAATATGTATGGAGAGCTCAAAGTGCTGGGATTCGACCTTTGATGATGGATGTGAGCAGCTGAGACATGGAGTACCTAACCCTGTTCATATAATTTGAATAAAAAGATATGAACCTTATTCTATAATTTTACAAAAGTATACCTACAGCTATCATGCTTACGGTATTTCATGGAGAGATTAATATATTTGACAAATATCTGATGGATTTGCGACTGCAGTTTATTCACATCAGTTATAAAATAGATATGGTTATGATTCAATCAGCAACCTTGTCATATATTTCATATAAAAAGTAAAATCACATAAATACTGAACTCCGAGGAAAATTCAAAAAGGAAAGTCCCTAATCAAATGGCAAAACCAAAAGCTCAAACACATCAGACGAATGGATAGCAACTATCATATTCCTGACTTGGTACAGGCATTTTCTTACGTAGAAAATGGTGGATTGAACCTGATTTTATAGCTAGCTAAACCTCTCACATGTATGACAGTCGCATCAAATATAAATTTTTCCATCTTAAGATATATCATAAAGCTGAAAAAATATTTCTTATTCCAGCGGCTCATCTCTATCACTCATTGAATTGTAATCCCCCCCCCCCGAGACTTATCCAAATGTGATTGACATTGAAAGACTAGTAATGTCCCACGGTCATTTTTGCAGAATTCGGTAGTCTTTTGCAATATATTTTGAATGTGAAACTGGCAATTTGAGTCTTCTGTATATATCGAAGACAGAAAGTTTCAAAGAATAAATATGTCATTTATATCTATACATTAGCTAGATTTTAACACAATTTGAGGAAGATTGAAAGATCGGAAAGGTCTAGCCAATGCCCTGGGACCTTTTACCTGAATATATTTTGAATATAAAAAGAATTGAAAATGTTCTTGTTTGGTTTCCTTTATTTGAATTAATATTTTTACATGTTACTAGAGTGTCCGTTCGCTTTTGTTTATTGAAAAACTATGTTTTAAAATTTGTAAAGAGAACATTTTGATTTGCGTATGGTTTTACATTCGAGGACAACGATAATAGACGACAACCTGTAGTGAGTCATAAAACAATCATTAAAAATTTTCATGCCATCGAATATTCCAATAATTATAACTTTAATTCAGAAAATTTGAATATCGAACTAACTGCTAGCAAATAACGAACCAGCGGCTCTCTACACATACATTTAATTTTTAACATGTATACACATAAAACTTAACACTGTAATGAAAACTACTTTTAATAACTACACTAACTGAAAGACGAATCTTACTATCACGTAGTATTATTGAAACGTTGAGTGAGGATGCTTAAAACATGCAGGTTTAATTTAATTTCATTTTTTTTTATGAATGTCAATTTGTTTTTTAACAAAAAGAGAAAACAAAGAATGAATTCAAATTTAGAAAGAAAGCATGTTTTTGTTTTATAGATAAATGTCATTTTACCGAACAAAAACGTGCTTAATGATATACATGTACTATTTTAAGTAATTGATATTTCATAATTGTAAACGTTTAAAAAATCTGCTATTAAAGCAAATGGACATATATAAGATAAAATACTTCACCTGCAGTTCCAGAGTAATCACCAATAGTAAGTTTGTATTTTGATGCAGCGTTTCCTACATTGAATGTCTTATACACAGCATATATTTTGTTGTTTGTTTTTAAGTCCATCATGTCCACTCTCAACTCGTATTTCCCACCGGACGTTAGCATATGTGTGTATTTGTTGCCTGAATATGAATTAAAACTTAATATTAAATTATTTTTGCTTTCTTGTACTTGTGAATATTCACGTAAACTAATTTGTACATAATTATTCAATAACCACTACATGCATTTCTCTATCGGAATATTCATTCTGTTCGATCTTGAAATTTAGAAAAACAACTTACCAAACCAGAATTCGCCATGTATATCACCAAATCCATTTTCGCATTCATCCCATGTACGTTTAAAACTAACAGATCCACCATACCGTTTTAACATAACCTAGTTAAAAGCCAATATGATAAAGATTAATGTGACATATTTGAACGACTAGTTCATCGTATTGTCTCTTTATTAGAACTGTACGTGTTTGGTGAAATTCAAAAATCTATTATCAAATTGAAATCAATTTGTCTTGTTTGAAGAAAATTATATTTTAGATACCGTCATAACCGTTAGTACATGCATTAAACAATGTTTTTAAAAATCAAGCAAAACGGATATACCAACTATTCGTTTTTCAATATAACTATGTCGCAAAAGTAATACAACAATATAAATCTGTAAGAAAAATAGCCCTGTTGTTAATCATGTTGCACATACTGTCCAGCCTCCCCCGTCTGTGGTCATATCGCAGTACACCTGAACAGATTTATCTCCCCCTGGATATATCTTGTAAACACCATTGTTCATTTTTTTCTTTGTTTTCCTCTTTAATTCTGTACAGTCTTTGTACTTTGGTGGTGAACATACGCCTGTAAAAATAATATTTGTCGAATTGTCTAATTCAGACGTATCCATGAAATTATAATATTAAAAATTGTGCGCTACTGGTACTTCTCAACTTCGCGTCAATATTTTTTAAACCATTCTTGCTTTTCAACAAGCAATACTCCTTTTCTCCTGCAAATGCGATATTTATAAATATATCAACCTTAAACTTCTACAATATATTTCGGACATCATTTTATTCAAATTCCTGTCATTTGTCATATATGTTTGTACCGTTTGAAATGTAACGTTTCTAAATCATTGCATATCAAAACATAAAGACATTCTTTTCCCGTAAACAAATCTTATCTTTCAGATTTTTCAAATTATCATAATAACCAACAATACCTATTATCCATAGTTTTGATGTTTTAAACATCATATAACGAGATGTGACTAACTAGATGAGTTGGTTTTTACGTTATTAAGACAGAAACCCCAAAACACGAAATTATATCTAGTGGTCCACATACGGTCTTCTATCAGTTTAAATCACCTTTTGTGTCCTGTTTTAGTAAGTCAAAAATTTTCCTGGTTTCTCTTTCTCCTTTTGATTCTAAAATCATACGAAGACATAATCAGACTTAATATTTTAAAATAAATAAATATATCACAACAAAAGCCGACATCATAAAATGCAGAAATTTGTTGTGATAGCAAAACATGAAATTCGAGAATAAGACATTTCTTATTTCTACTATTTGTCTTCGAAAAAAAAATTTTCTTGTTTGTGTATTTTTCTTCAGGGTCCGATTCGTTTCTTTACTTCAACAGCTATTTTCACTATAAGTTTGCGTTATATTTTTACCCATTTGTTATAAAAATTTCAATATCTTTTCTATCTCAAATACTACATTTAAATTAAGGATGAGTTACATTTACAAGGGTAAAATTAATTTCAGGGCTTATTTACATACCCCTGTTAGTTCATTTGAAATAGTACCAAAAAATGTGAAACAAAGGAGGAGGTATTATAAGAGCCGCTATTTTGCCCCTGAAATTACAAAAAATAGAAAATTTATTCAAGCCTTTCAAAATTAAGTTAACTATATCGCTAAGTGAACAGGTTAATAATTCTGGACACTCAAGTGCAGAAAGGTCACCATGGTGTCATAAACTTTTAGAAAACTACGCCAAAAAGATATTCTAAACTCATTAAACATGATAAATATTGTGTCAAATACATTTTGAAGGAAAATATTGTTTTGGGTAAAGCTGTTTAAAGATAAAATGACATGATTTAAGCATGAGGCTTTTGTTACAGTTTTGTTGTTTTGTTTTAACTTAACGACGTTTGAAACCGTTATGCTAATCTGTAAGACATAATTCAAAAATATAAATACTAATGTCCGACAGTCTTATGTCTTGTGAACATCTGAAGGATGTGCTGTGATAGATTGATGATACTTTTTAATTTTAAAATTGAAGAGGAATAAAAAATAGGCCTTCTCATACCTTGTTCTGAACAATATCTCTAAATAATATTTATACATTTACTAAAAACTAAACAAAAATGCGTTATATATATATATATATATATATATATAAATATTTGTAGTATACAATGTACAAATATTTAATCAATATACGGTATGTTAGGGTGAAAAATAGGTCGGGAATGAACTAATTACAACTAGCAATAAGAACTGGCGGGATGAGACGAGGAGCATCCTCAGAGTAAGCATCTCATGCAATACAAATGAAAAAGCCAGCACCAGGACATCATGGGTTGACTGAGATATAGAAATATTGTCACCTGCAATATAAATGGAACCCATGCTAAAGAGGGGTTCTTTTTAATGTTAAGTGTGTGTTAAAATTCAGCTACGTCAGGTCAGAATTCAAACCTTAAACACGATGCTTCGTATTATTACCATGATTAACACGTTCTGTTTTATTAGTTTGTATTACAGAATAGACTCTTTAGACAAGGCACATGAGGCAGCAAAAGTGCGACCCATTTAGTTATTGCTCAAGTACTATGGTCGTTTTGCTCTTTAGTATGGATGATAATCAGAAAAAGGATGAATTTGGGGTAAAAATTAAAATGCTGAAGCCCTTATGATATTGAAAAGCATTGAGAAGGAAGACTATAAGGTTCGAATAGTCACTTGGTATTTTTGATGCAGATAGGTATTTGTCACAATTTTTGTATTCCATTTTTATTTGGATTAGCTACACAGAATATAAGTAATCAAAATTAAAAATCGAAATACCTTCAACAATCCATTTTATTTCTTTTCTGAGTTGTGTATTTAATTTCACCACATCTTTGTATACGTTAATATCTGAAAAATAGTTAAATGGTGATTACTATAACATAATTGTTGACAATTGCATTATAAATTCTTGACTTTTTTTTATTATTGAAAAAGAAACACCAAAGCAAAAATATACCATCATAAGTCACATATATTCAGGAATAGTTAAACAAGTCATGAAGTCTTGAAAACATAAATATTCCGTGCAGTTATGCTAGTGGTCGTGATCTATTGAAGATGAGACTTTAACTAAATATACGACAAAATACCAACATTATTTCAGTATATATATTATTAAAAAGCTAATAGGAAAGAAAATAAGCATATCAACGTGGAGGTATTTTTTCTATATGCAGGTGATACTGGGATAATCTTTTATAAAAAAAAATAATGCCGCATCACTTGTTTGTGAAGCTACTTCACAACTGACCCTAACTGTCGATTTTTAGGTGCGGATCAAAGTATAAAGCAGATTGTCATTTGGGAAGTATCAATGTTGAATGTGGAATTATTCAGTAAAAAGACTAAATATATATAACCAAACATGAACATACAGATGATGATAACTTCTTTTCAATCTTTTTGAGAAGCCCCTGCACTGACGGCGTTTAATTTAACTCATGGAACATGTCACTGAGAAGTGGAAAACTAGAGGCTCTAAAGAGCCTATGTCGCTCACCTTGGTCTATGTGCATATTAAACAAAGGACACAGATGGATTCATGACAAAATTGTGTTCGGTGATGGTGATGTGTTTGTAGATCTTACTTTACTGAACATTCTTGCTGCTTACAATTATCTCTATCTATAATGAACTTGGCCCAGTAGTTACAGTGGAAAATATTTTGTAAAAATTTACAAAAATTTACAAAATTTATGAAAATTGTAAAAAATTGACTATAAAGGGCAATAACTCCTTAAGGGGTCAATTGACAATTTTGGTCATGTTGACTTATTTGTAGCTCTTATTTTGCTGTACATTATTGCTGTTTACAGTTTATCTCTATCTATAATAATATTCAAGAAAATAACCAAAAGCTGCAAAATTTTCTTAAAATTACCAATTCAGGGGCAGCAACCCAACAAAGTGTTGCCTGATTGGTCTGAAAATTACAAGGCCGATAGATCTTGACCTAATGAACAATTTTATCCTGTCAGATTTGATGCTTTGGTTTCAGAGATATCAGCAAAAAACTGCATTTTACCCTATGTACTATTTTTTAGCCATGTCGGCCATCTTGGTTCGCGGGCGGGGTCATCGGACACATTTTTTAAACTAGATACCCTAATGATGATTGTGGACAAGTTTGGTTAAATTTGTCTTAGTAGTTTCAGAGGAGAAGATTTTTGTAAAAGATTACAAAAATTTACGAAAAATGGTTAAAAATTCACTATAAAGGCCAATAACTCCTTAAGGGGTCAACTGACCATTTTGGTCAAGTTGACTTATTTGTAGATCTTACTTTGCTGAACATTATTGCTGTTTACAGTTTATCTCTATCTTTAATAATATTCAAGATAATAACCAAAAAACGAATAAATTGCCTTAAAATTACCAATTCAGAGGCAGCAACCCAACAACAGGTTGTCAGATTCATCTGAAAATTGTCGGGCAGATAGATCTTGACCTGATAAACAATTTTACCCCTGTCAAATTTGCTCTAAATGCTTTGGTTTCAGAGATATAAGCCAAAATCTACATTTTACCCCTATGTTCTATTTTTAGCCATGGTGGCCATCTTGGTTGGTTGGGAGGGTCACCGGAAACATTTTTTAAACTACATAACCCAAATGATGATTGTGGCCAAGTTTGGTCAAATTTGGCCCAGTAGTTTCAGAGGAGAAGATTTTTGTAAAAGTTTACGGACGACGGACGCAGGACGACGGACGCCAAGTGATGAGAAAAGCTCACTTGGCCCTTTGGGCCAGGTGAGCTAAAAAGTAGGTGTTGTTATGATGACTATTATTACTAATGTTAAATATGTTGGTAACTTGAAGAGTTGGTCCTGCAGACGGGCACACATAGACACACTTGTGTAATGTTGTTATCCAATAATCAAGTAAGTCCACTTGAAAGTCAAAAGGAACATTAAGGAGGTTCGATCACCTAAGGGTGCCAACTCTTTAAAATTCAGCTGTACGTTTTAATCACATTCCTAAATTAAAGAGAAATCAAGCTTCTCAATGATCAAAACTAGTGTTTGTCAAACTGCTATATATCTAATGAAATTACTCCTGTAAGTTATGTGGTTTAAATTTTATGAAATTTTTACATTTTTGTCTACACGTCAAAGTAAATATTTTATCAAAATTTTATGACAATCAAAAAAGCCAAAATTATTGTAGTCAACGTGTTGTTTACCCAAACATATGATTTCCACGGAGTTCGCTAAAAGTAGGTATTAATTGAGAAAATGTTGGGTTTGCAAGTGAATTTTCTATTTCTCGCGTCTTTTGCAAAGTTTTGGATGGCATGAAAACACAAAAATGATGTTATATTGGGCTTTGACCGCGAAAAAATCATATTGCTGGGGGAAATTTTAATGCAGACTATGAACAAATATTTTCTATTTGATGTAATATACTGCAAATCAATTTTTTTTGATTCGATTTCAGAACCTTACTGCAGACATGTATGTTAACATTGTGGATTTCAATTCAATTTAAACAGTATCGACACACATGTAATACTTTATCAGAATTTGATCTTAAATCCATGAAAGCTGTGAATATGTTATCAACTATCTGACTATAAAATAAAAACAACTACATACTGTCTAAAATAGTCTGTGTATCCTTTTTCAGATCTTTTACATTTTGATGTTGATTGCCATGAATGCATGTATCTAAGCAACAGTAGAAAAATAAATATATACAAATCAATTGCGTATGAATATATACAGAAACCACATTTTCAATAGAGAATAAAGAGCTTTTAACATTTTATTTACATTTGATTATTGTTGAAGTAGCAATCTTGATACCGTTGTGGATAATTGTAGATGTTTGTATTATGGCTTTCACCTTTTCAAATACATATAACTGTTTTGAGCATCAATAAGTGACATTTATTAAACAAACGAAAGGTGACAGCATAAATGAAGAAATGAAACAGTGTCAAAACAACAAATTCCTGGACAAAAAAAAATCCTATTATCGAATCCTCGGTGATTAAAAAACAATGATAATAATCAATAAGGAATGGTGGTGGTGGTGGTGGTGGGGGTATGGGGTGGTCAAATGCGTAATGTACAAAGACAACCAAATGTCATTTACACTGCCTAACCTTGTAGCTCCTGCATCATTTTGTCGATTCTCATATCATTCTCCGAGGACTCACGGTCATTTCGAACTCCTAAAATATATAATTTGATTATGAAATATAGTTATGCACTGACGAAATTATAGATTAATACCATTACAATGCCTAAGTTTTCTGATTAATTAATTGACACCTCTTGTATCTAGCACTCGATGCTGTAATTGAATACACAAATTTTGTTTCTTTTGACTATTACATAAATTCAGGAAGTCAGAAGATAGCACGACAAATACATATTCAACCATTTTTTTGTAGAAAAGTTTTTTTTACATGACTCATCGGTGGGTCAGTAAATGTGTATCATATTCAAATGTAAATATCTAAAAAGAAAACATCTAAAAAAAACACCAAAAAATAAACAAATATTAACATCAAGAGAAATGTGGATACGACACATTTGTGTTTTCATAAACAGATAAATTTATTAAATTCCAATAATCTTGTGCTAAGAATATTGTAATTAAACTTCCAAGTTCGAATATGGACATGTATCTTTTTACAGTTTAGCAAATAGTTATCAGGTCAGAAAAACAGACAGGATGATATTTCGAAACGTAAACAACTATGGTAACGAGCATTTTTATTTCGAAACGACGAATTCTAAAGATATGTTCCTACATCCGACAAACCTTTTAGAAGGCAATATTTAAACAGTTAAAGGCATACGACAAAGGTTTATTTGTCAATTCTTCTTAAAAAACGTCCTATATTTCCCCTTATGTCGGTGATTTGCAATCAACTCTTTGGACTTATTTTTAAAATCTTCATTTTGTTGATTCGGTTTTGACTGGAAGGAACATGTAAAGCAATTAATAAAGATACATGGCTTATAATTTGGTACGACTACATAAGACTCATCAGTTTGATAAAGGCAACAGTAGTATACCGCTGTTCAATAGTCATAATTCGATTAAGCAAAAACAAATCCGGGTAATAAACTAAAACCGCGGGAAACACATCAACTATAAGAAGAAAACAACGGAATAACAGAAACACTGAACTACAACAAAAGAAAAAGGCAACATACATAGAAACGGACTGTAGATAATAACTGCCATATTCCTGACTTGGTACAAGACATTAAAAAAAAATGGTGGGTTGAACCTGGTTTTCTGGTTAGCCTAACCTCCCGCTTATATGACAATGTTAAAAATACCTATAAAATGACAACACTACATGACAGGAATACAGTACAAATAAACGCAAGAACACTCAGCACAGAGAAATACTTAAATAAATAATATAATAGTACATTACAACATGTAAACCGCAGAATACATATAATAAAATGGAAGATTAAATCTAATACAAAGTTAAAGATCATTAAAAGCCAAACATTTCGAAAACTACGATAAAAGAAATATCTGCCTCAGGTAAGAAAACCCTTAGTGTTCCGAATAATAATTATTTTTATAAACAGTAAATTTATAGAAGTTATATAGGTAATACAATTTAGAAAAGAAACAAGCAATATAACCAGTAAAGGTGTTTGCTATGTAAAATCAAGATTTTATAGATCAATCTGCTAGACAGTGGTTCTATTTATACCACGATTGAGCGCTCCTGTAGTCAAGAAATCAACGTATATACGTTATTGTTATGTCCAAATCAGTCATTTAAAACTTTTGTAATGATTCGTACTGAAATTTATAGACGATACCAAAAATTGTCAATTTACAATATTGCAGACTTAAAAGGTCTATCAGGAATCTGATGTTCAGTAGTTGTCGTGTGTTGGTGTGGTTCATAAGTGTTTCTCGTTTCTCGTTTTTTTTTTATAGATTAGACCGTTGGTTTCCCCGTTTGAATGGTTTTACACTAGTAATTTTTGCGGCCCTTTATAGCTTACTGTTCGGTGTAAGCCAAGGCTCCGTGTTGAAGACCGTACTGTGACCTATAATGGTTTATTTTTTATAAATTTTGACTTGGATGGAGAGTTGTCTCATTGGCACTCATACCACATCTTCTTATATCTATTTGTATGTATCTGATATACTTCAAACATCTACACACATGAAATTATTAAGAAACTAACTTCTCACTTCCTCTGGCAAACTTGGCCTGAGATAAATTTTGCTATGTTTAGGTCTCTTTTTTATTCGATTTTCACTGATGAGTCTTTTGTAGACGAAGCGCGTGTCTTGCGTACAATATTTCAAGCCTGGTATCTATAATGCGTTTATTATCTGTATAGCTCTTCATGCATGTGTTTAATTTAAGAATTGAATATCTTTTATAATTTTATTGGGGTGTGAAAGCGTTGACCGAAACACGTTTTGTATGAAGCGAGGAATTACATTTTTATGCTACAATCATGAAATTAAGAGTTTTATCAAGCTTTTCGTTTGTTTTTCAATGCATTGTTTTAACATTGTCACGGAAAGCACGTGCAGTCATAGCTGTTGTATTTCATACGGATATAATATATGATATTGGAGTGCCTCGCGATTGTTGTCAGTCGATCAAATTTACGAATTCTAATGAAACATACATGCAATGTAATAATACTTTGGCTCTTGGGCTGATAATACATCTGATATAAAAAATGCCATGTAGTAATCTGATAATATTTATCATATAATTGAATCCAAATTAATATGACGGATTAATAGGCTAATGAGGAAGATTGTTTTTGTTTGTTATAGAAGTAAGAGGTGAAAAATACCAAAGGGATCCCAAACAGAAAAATAAATGAACAAATTGCTTTCAAATCGTATTCAAATCTCTTTCAAATCGTAATTCTGCAATTTGTTAGTACCATTTGCTTGCGATTCATTAAATAAATCATAAACAAATCAGTATTCGCCAAATTCCCAAAACTGATTTCTTTGTGATTTCTTTCAAATGTATGATTTGTTAGCAATTTGTTTCTGTTTTTGTGTGATTTCTTTATGATTTGTTTACTTAGGATATCGTATGAAATGATTTCAAAAAGATTTGTTAACTTTGTTCGCTAAAATTGTGTGATTTCGTTATGATTTGTTTACTTGGAATATCATAGGAAATGATTTGAAAATGATTTGTTAACTTTGTTAGCTATCATGGTGTGATTCATTGATGATTTGCTACAATGAAAACAATGTTATTGCATTCAGATTTTCTGGGTTTGTCTTTATCTCTGACTTCCGGTTGAGGTCAAATTCAAATTTCAAATACTGTTCTACATTAACTGAACAAAGAAGGTTGCAAGATGAAGAGTAAGATATACTATTATTGATGACAGTGGTAAGTATCTTAGTCATTAACTTATTGTTTCAGGAATTCAATTGTATGTCAACTATTCAAACATGTCAAAGGTGTTAAACTTTTATATTCGGAAACTGTGCGTTTCAATATCTCGTTATGTGTACTGTCTGAATAAATTTTCAAAAAAAAATGTGTAAAAGACATGTAAACAGAATGAGACGAGCAATTAAAGAGTAGCTTCCCGAGTCAGCAGACAACATGCACTCGCAAGTTTTATGTTTAAATTTTTCATGATGTTGACTGGTCAGGTATATAGCTGTAGCAGATTTGGACCAAGATTAAGACCCACCTAGTATTCGACATCCTTCTAGTAAACGTGGTTGCCCATGTTGTCAACTCTCGTTAGATTCAAATTCTGGAGAAGTGAGAGAAACTTTTCACAGAGGGAACAATTGCTCCCTCATGACAACCCGAAATAATAATCCCTTAACAATCAGAGGAGTAGACAAGGTAAAATAAAGACAAGTGCACTTCAAAGTTTGGGGGTCTCAGGGGCAGAACAGATTTTCGATCCAGATGTAAATGATTTAATCTGTGAATCGATGATGATGTCAATTAATTGACGATTTGCTTGTGATTTGCTTAATGTAGGAATATGATTTACTTCTGATTTGTTAAAGGTTTGATAACAATTTGTTTATAATTTCTTCATAATTTGAAAACAATTTATTTGCGATTTGCTTGAGGTAGGAATATGATTTACTTCTGATTTGTTAAAGATTTGATAACGATTTTTTTATAATTTCTTCATAATTTGAAAACAATTTGTTTGCGATTTGCTTGAGGTAAGAATATGATTTCATTCTGATTTGTTAAAGATTTGTTAACAATTTCTTTATAATTTCTTTACAATTTGAAACAAATTTGTTTGTGATTTGCTTAAAGTAGGAAAGAAATATCCTCTGATTTGTTAATGATTTCAATACAATTTCTTGACAATTTGTTTATGATTTGTTTATGAATTGGAAGCAATTTGTTTGTGATTTGTTGTTGTGATTTGTTAGCTCATTTGCATGTGAAATTTTATCACTTTCAAATCATAAAGAAATCATATGATTTGGTTATCATTTGTTACCATGATTTGTTCCTATTTTTTTTTTGTTTGGGATCGATATTCAAACTCATAAGTCGAAAAAAAACTGACAATTCAAAACGATAACAATTTAAAGAAATAGTGACATGGTCCTGGTAAAATTGAGATGTATGAATATGAAGGCGATCGATAACTTATTTACATTTATTTTTAGGTCAGATAGTACAGGTAAAAGTTATTTTAAAAATTGAAATATTCGAAATTGATTTACGATTACAATAAAAAAAAAAACACAACAGAGGATGCAAATAAGAAAATAGAAATAATAATGATTAATAAAACTATTATAAAAATGAGTGAAACAGACCAAAATAATAACAAAAAGTAAGAGGTTAAAAACAGAAACTCTTATAAAACTCCATCAATGTTATTTTAAATACTTAACAACATTTTAGGCTACTTCTAACAGTAAAACTTTTGTTTATTTATTCAAATATATCCCCTAATTGGAAAATATCACATGGTTTGACAACTTTTTTAAATCATAGATTCCTGGATTTAATTGATGCAAACATCCTTCAAAAATGAAAAAAAGTATGTAAAATCGCAATAATTAATATTTTTTGTTATGTAATTTACAATGGACAAGAGTTGAAAGATTTACGACCTTCTGGATACCTTATCTAATCCTGTTTATCTCTACGTTTGTGTGAAATTTTGAAATGATTTATATTGATCTAAGCATCTTCACATATTTTTCCTTTGTTAATCGTTTTGAACATAGATATCGTCAGGGATTGGTACGATTCGAAACCAACATATTCAATAAATTATATTTCATAAATTTTAGAAATGAATTTTTCTTACCTCTGACCAGCGTCACATCTTTTGAACAGGATACGATCAATACGGAATTCAATACCACCAACAAAAGAAACATATTGAACATGATTGAAAGCAACCACATTTGGCATAGAAGTTGGTAATTTTGGTCAACGCGTATATTATGTTGGATTTCTCTACATAATTACTGTTTTGCGTGTCTGTAATAGATCCTGCATTTGGATATACAACAGATGATGTAGATAGATTTACTTAACAAATTGAATTCACCTTGTTTTGGATGGTACAAAATACGGAGGGTATAAACAACCCACTAACAAATACTTCGGCACTGGCATTATAATGTGGATATTTCTTTATTAAAATTTGTTTTTATGAGTTTTGGGAATCAATTATACTAAGGAATCATCTCCCTTATTCAAATCTATGAGTTCTTCTCCGGAATTGGTTAGTATGACTTATGTCTTTTTTTGTTTTATCAGCCCTTCAACGTTGATATTAGGTATTGGATTTTCAAAAGTTCTGGCATCTAGCATCAAGGACGAGAATTAAATGTCGAAATGCGTATCTGGTGCAGTAAAATTTGTACCGTTATTGGTATTTTTTATAATTGAATATTGTGTGGATAGAGGACTATCAGTTTTATTACTGTTAAAATACCTCATATCGTACATGTATGTAGTTATGTATCTACTACTTAAACGAATTTTATTCTTTGGTCTCCGATAAACTGGTTAGACTGAGAACACCCAAATTTTGAATATATAACTGATAATAAATGTCTGAAAATATCACTCTTTTTTTATTTCCGTCATGTGTTTTGCAAAATTAAAAATAACAGCTGATAATTAGAAATCCTGGTGTTATTTGGCACAGTTTGAAGATTAAAATCCAAAAAAAAAAAAAATAAAAGAAAGATTTAAATCGAATTAACAAGATGATAGATATTTTTCTATAGTTTAATGGTTTGTCATTTGTTCTTGTTGACAACCAGCTCATATATATATTGACTTAACATCTTTCATTCACTTTGTTTAGGATGGTACAAATTATTACTTCAAATGCAGAAAAAGTTTGGCCTTAAAAAAATCTTGATTTATCAAATTTTGAATGAGTGCAGCATTTAACCCCAAAAGTTGTTTGTCATTCAAAAAAATTATGAATGGTCTACATTCCTGAAAGTACACATTTTTGTTTTGAGATTTATGCAAAAGGCATGTGCGAGTAATCTCCACCTATTTTTGGAATGCATGATAGAATATGCGTGTTGTCATGTAGGTTATTGCTAGGCATATGACAGTCCTTTGAAACCACAATGTGTATTGATAGTACGTAATATGTGGTTTCTTTCCTTAACATGATCTTAAAAGCAGGGTGGGTCCGATTACGGATGCAAAGGGCCCGGTCCCTCAGTAGAAAATTAATTAATTTTTATAAATATAACATTTGTACGGCCTTTCCTTTATTTTAATGACTTACATTCCGTGGTATTTTCCTTAAGAAAATTACTGAGGTCTTGTATATACAATTATACGCCAAAGGTTTTTTGTATGCCATATCTTGATGTTTAATATCTATTTGTAGAATTTGGCGTTTATATCAGATCTTATATATTTTTTTTTACTTAATAACTGTAAACTGGAGGGCTTGGTATATCGTGCAGACAACTGTCTATTGCTGAAGACAAGTGTATGGTGCCTTCTAAATGAGTTTTTGGTTGTTTTTTTCGTCTTTGGCTTGAAGCCTCAATATGTCTCACTACACAATACACCTACTGCCAGTCCTGCTTATTTTTGTCCGCACGAACATTTATATTTTTACACTTTTGCACACAATGTTTTATGCTGCATTTGTTTGGGCGGATTATTCATTTTCATAATGTCATGATATTAAATGGAATTTTGACGACACACGTACAACGGGCCACTTGAAGGTTGAATTGTGTATAGAAATACGGTCATCTCTTGGGCTTTTCCGACCCGCTGTAAAACCTTTGCAAAATTGGGCGCCTGTTTATAATTAGCTGTGTGGAATTTACTAATGATAAATTCTTAACAACTCCGGACAGAATGATGACGTTAATGCCTGGTGAAGAGTGACTCTACTTATTCCTTTCGCATTCAGTTATTTTACATTTTTATTAAAGACAAAAATTCTACGTATGATGTTTTTGTTTACATTTTACACATGTCGTGTACTTATGTCGTTAGAATAGATATATAGTAAAGTAAATGCAAACTTATTTTTTGAAAGTTTGCATTTTTCCCTTTTGATCAATGATGGGTCTAATAGCCCAGTAAATTCCTTTCCCTCTCTACCTGCTACTAACAAGAACTGTCATCAATTCATACGGTGAGAGGAACTGGTCTTGAATGGCATATTCAAAGTTATGTTGATGTGGAATCGTATAATAAACTTCCAATAGCATTTCTGTAAACAAATTTTAAATGTACTATCATAAATCTTAGGCAATCGTTTGAAATTAAGTATCTCCCTCGTGTATAGATCTAGTCCCAGTTTGACTTTACTTTTGATCCTTTTTCGTTTTATTTGTTATATTAGCATCCCTTTCCTGATAAAGTTAAAGCCAGACAAGTTCGTCGTACGCACCAAATGAATAAAGTTTTATATTCATATATAGCGGCTGGAAGACTGTTAGAGCCCTAGGGTATAGTTTGCTCAGTATTTAGTGTTTCGGCTCTAAATAGATTTTTATTAAGATACATTTTTACATTTTTCGTTGATTAGTCTAGAAATTTTGATAAAACTAGGTTTCAACTCCCTCAAACAAAAATGACAGTAGGTGGATTCTGGTTCTTCTATTTCATTTAATTTTTGTCATATAGATCCTTTATAATGAAATATACTTTATTATACATCATTTGCATTATCCATTTTTGGTTTCAGTGCTCCTTATGAAGTTAAATTGAGAAAGGAAACTTGGACTTAAAAATTTATAAAGTTTTTATTTTCACTTTCTAGAACTGGGGGCCTGGTCTCGTTGGCTGAGTGGTCAAAGTAGTCGAACTACTGTTTCACTAGCCTGTCAACACTGAGGTTATGAGTTCGAACCCCGCACGTGGCAGGAGCGCTCGGCTTCAATCTTAATTGGATAGGATTGTCAGTTTTCCTACCGAAAGTCGATGGTTCTCTCCAGGCACTTCGCCTGCCCCAACCAATAAATACTGGCCGCCATAAAATAGCACAATAGTGCTGAAAGTGGTGCTGAACAACCAATAAATCAATCAATCGTCTAGCATTAGGCATATACTACTGCTGATGGAAATTAGGTCTATGAGGGTATCATCAATTGTACGACTTTGTCCCCACCAGAGCTATAGAAAAACAGTACATTAACGGGTGTTACAAAGACACTTTTTAGATGATACATGGACACTTTTTAGATGATACACGGACACTTTTTAGTTGTTACACGGACACTTTTTATAAATAGAATCACTCGTGCATGATCAGTGAGTTCATGGGCACTTTAAATTTCAATTAGATTTGAACATTTTTGTTTCACCGACATATTTCCTGTCTTTTTTATTAAAATATTTACGTTGGCATCAATAACTATATTTTTTTCAAACAATTCCATTATATTACTGTTCATATCAGTACACTAAGGGATTGACCATTTAACATCAAAAGGGGGATTATGGGTTTTTCCTAAAAAAATATTCTGACCCCCAATTTTATGAGAAAAAATATATTGTGCTCAAGCAGATGGCAAAATGATGTTCTGATTCCTGATTTTACTAATACCGTATATAATAGTGCTAATTTCAAAAAAAATATTTGGGTGATAGCGTTGAAAAACTAAATTTTCTTACTCAAAAAAAAAAAAAAATACATACCCCCTTTTGAAGCTGAATGGTCGGTCCGTAAATGTATTTTTTTTTTCAATATATGGACATGAATAGTACTCTCGACAATGCTGAAAGTAAAGAAATGCTGGTACCGACGTTTATATTTCAATAAAAAAGACAGGATATATATATATAAAAAAATCAAATCTAATCAAAAGATAAAATCCCTATCAAATCACCAACGCACGATTGATTCTATAAATAAAAAGTGTCCGTGTAATACATGTTCAAATAGGTAGTAAATCGTTAATAAAATCATTCAACTTAGTAGACCTGTTCAACAATTGTCTACACCTACAGTTGAGAACGACTACGACAGGTGAGATATGAGGGGTCGTCTCAAAAATAAAATTTTAAAAAAATATTATTGATCGCATATGATTATTTTGATTGCCAATGAGACAACTATTCAACATGACGTTTTTTTGTGAACCGTACCTTTTTTTGTTTATTAAGTATTTGCTTATCAAAATCTAACTTATTTGTGAATTGACTATGAAGAAAGGGAAGGAATTCAATGTTTCATTTCTTTTAGACGCCGAGTTGGAAAATGAAAAAAAAAAGAAAACAAACCTGTATTTTTGTAGTAGATGTAATAGTTATACACCGAGGGATAGGTGTGTCTGGATAAGAAACCCCGTCGGCCGGAGGCCGGAGGGGTTTCTTATCCAGACACGCCGTATCCCGAGGTGTATAACTAACTTACACCCCATTCTAAACCCTATGTTTGTTAACATTGATTATTAAATGAAAAAAATAAAAATGAAAAAAACGATAGCATATTTATTGATAATATCAAACCATGATTCATAAGAATTTTTTTTATTCTATGAAACCCCACTAGTAACCTTTCTTTGATTATCTTTGTTCAAACTTTGACAAGTGAGTATATTTTACAAATGTTAAAGTTGTTTTACAAATTCCCGTTAAATCCATGTGCTAATATGGATCAGCAGGTCAAGGTTGACTGTTTCGTGTATTCTTCTTACTATCAAAAAATACATCATGCTCCTTGTATTCAGTTGTCAAGATGGACGGGTATAAGACAGACGACATTTTGTGGCAAGCGTTGGATTTGGTAGAAGAGACTAAAGATGAAGACAATATTATAACCCAAAGTACTTACCTGTATCAGTTTAATAAAGGTAATCATAACTTTATTTTATATCTTTAATACGGTTTTATAGAACAAAAGCTCCTCCCCCCTCTTCTCGGGAAAAAACCCCCAATCATATTCTGACATACTAAG